GATGATTTGTTCAACTTGGGGATTGGAAAAGTGTAGAATAGGTGCATTGGAACTATGGGCTTGGACTTCATTCTCCAGATTATCCTTTGAGTTATTTCATCGAACACCTAATTCTTCAACCAATTCTAGACTGCCTTGTCCTCCTCGTTCATGGCTGGGCATTGGAACTAGTTATTTGGACATCATCTTCAGGATCCCCAGCAGCAGCAAGAATCTAGAAAGTATTAGAGTTGGAACCAACATTGAAGTCAATTCGTTGAACAATTTTGGTCTGATGTTTTGGTGAAACCTGCTTCTTTATGGGAGATTTTCTAGCTGTTACCAAATTCCAATATCCTTTATTTTTGTTCATATCAGCTTCCTTCTCATCCACTCTCCTTCTCAGTTTTATTTTCCACAAGTAAGCTCTTATTCCCCATTTTTTCTTTCCCGGAAATCTGGGCAATTACTTCTCTATTAGAGATTTGTACTGCAATTTTTTGTTGAGCATCTGCAGTTGATTGTTGAGAATTCTCAATACCAACCTTATTCACCCCAAAAGCAGTTACCCTATCCTCTCCTGCATTAATGTTATCTCCAGCTACCTTATCTATTGCTCCTTTCTCACCTTGTACATTAGCAAAAGGTTGAGTTTGTTGTGCCAAAGCTAGCTTCTCACTTCCAGCTAAACTATTTGGAAATTTAGCCTCTATATTGATAGCCTTAGTACCCTGAGAAGCTCCTATGTTAAAAACCCCATTACCTTCTTGTACCTGTCCACCAGTATCTCGAGCACCAGCTGCAATACTCTCACTATCCTTACCACTTTGTATAGCTGCTTCATCATGATCACCTGCCCCTTTTGAGCTTGTACTTGATGACATTATAGCTGCAGCAGTAGCAAGCTTATCATAAGCCTGTACTATTGGATTAACAACATTGGAGATCCTTGCTAGTGCTACCCTAGCAGGAACATCTCGAGAAGGTGGATTTGGGCCCTTATCGATTTTTGAAACACAACCAGCATCAACCTTTTCACGACCTAAGGCAGCTTCTAGTTGTTCCTTAATCTGCTGAACATCATCAGGTTATTTCATTCCCAATTGTATCAACTCTTCTGAACGTGCAGCCTCAAGTTGCCCAGCTCTTTTAGCATTCAAGAAATCCATAGCATCTCCTTGAAGTTGTTCAACCATATTACCTTCATGGCTGGGCAGAATACTCCCCTCTAGTGTATCATCTGCAATAACCTCCTCTTCAACTTGTCTCTTCATTACTCGACACGATTATTCCATGTGTCCTTGATGCTTGCAGTACGTGCAATAACTTGGGAGATTGTCATATACTACTTCTTGATCATGCACGATGGATTTTCCTAAAATTTTGTCCGTCATAACAATTTAAACTTTTTTAGGATGTTTATCCATAAGATCAAGTATGACCTTAACTCTAGCAGCACTAGGTCGAGTTCTCTCTTGTGTTGCCTTATCCACAGCAATTGCTTTACCCACAGTAGATGCAATAGATAACAACGACCTCTTTGAGAAGAAATTAGGAGGCAAACCTGGGAATGATATCCACACGACTGCCATTGATGTTTCCTCCTTCGGATTGAAACCTAGCGTCCATGGAAACGTTCTAAAGAAGAATTCCTCACCTTTAGATTTCATATATCCAGTCCACTTTGACAAAAATTTAGCAAAATCATTGTATAGATCAAATCGCACCAAAAGATGACGATATTCCAGTTGTCCGATATTACATCGACCTTCAATATCAAACTGTGATGGCAAATTTTTTTTAATCTCTTGTAATTATGGTTTTCCATATGAAAACTTCATCACGATTGCCTGATGCGGTCCTTCTTCTCTTGTAAATTCATTAACCTAGTCCATGGTGAATTCGATCGTTGGTTCCCCATGCACAACTGCGACTGGAACTAACTCGACTTTGGACGACGCGGCAGATTGTTTTTGTTGAAGCTGTGTTGCGTATGACTGTTTTGGTTGGGAGTTTGTTAACGATTCACTTGTGTTTTGATTTGTCTCTCTCACAGCCAAAGGCTGGGGAGAGATCACAGCAGCCATGGCTGTCAAGCTCAAGAAATTGCCTTAGAGAGAGAAAGTAGAGAGAAGGGAGAGAAAATCAATCGTGTTTTTAGTTGATCTGATGGGAATATGGATTTTTTGGAGTATTGGGAATATGGATTTTTTGTTCTGATGAGACCGAACCCAGGGTAAGGCTGCTTACGTATCCTTTCGGAATCAGGTCGGACGTAGTTCAATGACTCAGAGATTTGTTGTTTGGCTTTTTTTTTACAAGTACACATGTTCTAAAAAGTGAGAAACAAGGAAGACAAATACTGCCCAAAAAGGATTAACAAAAGGGTGACACCTATTTGGAATAGCTAGAAAATGATAGCCTTCGTCACTTCGATCTGAGAAAATTGACGCGTGAAAATTCTACAGTGGGTATATATCAGACATAATATCTTTTGACTGCATCTGAGTTAATAGTTATGTTTGGTACCCGTCCTTCTTCATCAACCAAGTGCAAGGCCCCTTTTGGTAAGACTTTCTTGATGATATCGGGTCCTTGCCAGTTCAGGGCGAACTTTCCTTTAGCTTCTACCTGGTGCGGAAGGATGCGTTTCAAAACCAGTTGGCCTACCTCAAATTGCCTTGGGCGCACTTTCTTATTGTAAGCGCGTGCCATTCTTTACTGGTATAACTGACCAAAACACACTGCTGCTAGCCGTTTTTCATCGATCAACATCAGTTGTTCTAATCGGGTCTTGACCCACTCAGTGTCTTCAACCTCTGATTCTACAATAATTCGGAGAGAGGGAATTTTGACGTCAGCGGGTATTACAGCTTTAGTTCCATATACAAGCAGATACGGAGTTGCACCAATAGATGTGCGAACAGTCGTGCGGTATCCCAAAAGAGCAAAAGGCAACTTTTCATGCCATTGCCTGGAACCTTGGATCATTTTCCTAAGAATCTTCTTGATGTTCTTGTTTGCCTGCTTCAACGGCTCCATTGGCTTTTGGCCGGTAAGGGGTAGAATGGAGATGCATGATTTTAAATTGTTCGCATACCTCCTTTATCAAATGACTATTTAGATTGGTTGCATTGTCAGTGATAATGGTCTTTGGGATACCAAAGCGACAGATGATGTTGGAATGAACAAAGTCTACCACTGCTTTCTTGGTGACCGCTTTGAAAGTGACGGCCTCCGCCCACTTGGTGAAGTAATCAATTGCAACCAAAATGAATCTATGCCCATTTGAAGCCTTTGGCTCGATTGGCCCAATAACATCCATTCCCCAAGCAACAAAAGGCCAAGGAGAGGACATGGGATGCAACTCTGAAGGAGGCGAGTGAATCAGATCATCATGAATCTGGCATTGGTGACACTTGCGAACAAAACTGAAGCAATCTCGCTCCATAGTAAGCCAATAATACCCTGACTACAGAATCTTCTTCGCCAAAACATATCCATTCATGTGAGGTCCGCATACCCCCGAATGCACTTCACTCATGATCTGCTCTGCTTCTATAGCATCTATGCATCTCAACAAGTTTAAATCCGGGGTCCTCTTGTACAGAAATTCCCCATTCAGGAAGAAACCACTGGCGAGCTGCCTTATAGTTCTTTTTTTATCTCCTTTAGCATGCTCTGGATATTCTCTTGTTTTCAGGAATCGTTTTATGTCATGATACCATGGTTCACCATCTAGTTCTGTCTCAGTTGTATTATAGTAATCGTGTTGATTCCGAACTTGGATTTCTAGTGGATCAATATGAGTGTTGCCTGGATAAAGGAGTATCGAGGCTAAAGTGGCCAAGGCATCGGCTAGCTCGTTGTGAAACCTGGGAATGTACCTGAACTTGATGGATTTGAATCTTTTGCTCAAGTCTTGCAAACATTTTCTATACGGAATAAGCTTGATGTCTCGAGTCTCCCATTCGCCTTGGGCTTGCCGGATAAGCAAGTCAGAATCTCCCATAACCAATAGTTCATGCACATCAAGATCGATGGCCATTTTCAAACCCATGATACAAGATTCATATTCTACCATATTATTGGTACAGAAGAACCGAAGTCAGGCCGTTGCAGGGTAATGGTGTCCAATAGGTGAGATGAGGATTGCCCCGATCCCAATTCCTTTGATATTGACAGCCCCATCAAAATACATTTTCCATACAGGATGATCGTCTGGAACCGCTTCCTCTATTGAGTTGATCTCTTCGTCTGGGAAGTATGTGCTAAGTGGCATGTACTCATTATTAACTGGATTCTCTGCCAAATGATCTGCCAAAGCCTGTGCTTTCATTGCGGTGCGAGTGACATAGACGATGCCAAACTCTATGAGCAAGATTTGCCATTTTGCGAGCCTGCCAGTGGGCATTGGCTTTTGGAAGATGTACTTCAAAGGATCCATTCTGGATATGAGGTAAGTAGTGTAGGCCAAAAGATAATGTCTCAGCTTCTGAGCGACCCAAGTCAAGGCACAACATGTCCTTTTTAAAAGGGTGTACTTAACCTCATAATTGGTGAACATCTTGCTCAAATAATAGATTGCCTGTTCCTTTTTGCCTGTTGCATCATGTTGCCCCAGAACGCATCCAAAGGAATTACCCATCACCGATAGATATAAAAACAAAAGGCCTACCAGGTTCAGGCGGGACTAGTACAGGGGGTTTTGACAGATAATCTTTGATCCTGTCAAAAGCTTTTTGGCAATCGTCTGTCCACCTGATACCGACATCCTTTTTTAGCAACTTAAAGATGGGCTCGTACGTGGTTGTGAGCTGAGCAATGAACCTACTAATGTAGTTCAACCTCCCGAGCAAACTCATGACTTCCTTTTTGTTCTTCGGGGGTGGCAGATCTCGAATGGACTTTATCTTAGATGGATCCAATTTGATGCCTCTACGGCTGACTATAAACCGAGAGTTTCCCAGACG